CAGCAATAGTACATTATAGCTGGTGGTATTCTGCATTGCGCTGTATAATGTACTATTGCTAGGTTTTGTAGTCCTCTATAGCTGGTGGTATTTGGCATTGCACCACTGTATAATGTATTATTGCTGATGGTGCATTGCTCTGTATAATATACAGCACAATGTACCATCAGCTATAGAGGAATACAAATCCCAGCAATACATTATAGAGCACCATGTGTGGGAAGGTGCAGGCTTATACCTGAGCAGTCTTCCAGCAACTTGCTTCTGAGATCGGACCTGTCTATCAGCGGCTGTCATCCCCCCACACCTGCTCCTCCTTACTACATCTCCCCGCGTCCCTGTGCCGATCGTGGATGTGGGTGGGCGGTGAGTGTGAGGCGGGGAGGAGGTGCGGCGTGAAGAGCGTGTGTGGAGCCGTGAACAGGGCTAACTGATCGGAAGCCGATTAATCGATTATTGAAAAAGTTGACAACTTTTTCAATAATCGATTATAATCGATTATGCCGATTAGTTGTTGCAGCCCTAATTTAGAGGACTTCAAATTCCAGCAATACATTGTGAAGCACTGCAGAATAATACCATCAACTATAGAGGACTACAAATCCCAGCAATACATTGTAAAGCACTGCAGAATAATAATATCAGCTGTAGAGGACTACAAATCCCAGCAATACTTTATACAGCAATCAATGCAGAATAATATGAAGCTACATACTCTGCGTTGTTCCGGGTTCGCAACCTGATGTCTCCAGGGTCTCAGGAAAGCTGTGCAGGGTTTAGGGGGACAGTGCAGGCTCTCTGGAGCTTGTTCAGGCTCTTAGGTGGCCAGTGTGGCTCTCAGGGGGCCAGTGTGGGCTCTCAGGTGGTCAGTGCTGGCTCCAGGTGGTCAGTGCGAGCGCCAGGTGGTCAGTGCGGGCTCCAGGCGGTTAGTGAGTGAGACTGGCGACTGTGGCCACAACAGATGTGGCTCTCTGCTCAGGCATATCAGAGGGCCGCTCGCTGGGGCCCCTCTGGGCCCCACTGATATGACTGAATCGAGGGCCACTGCTGCCTGGTTGCGGCCGGCCCAGATTGCCATCAGGTCAGGTCAGGACGGCCGCAATTCAGGTTTGGTCGGGCTGGTCCTGATTCGGGTTTGGCCTATTTGCAGGGGCAGGCCTGGAGCGGGAGCTCCACCCACTCCTATATTAATCTGGCACTGGTGCTGTACATGCATGACTAGGTGTGAACTTGGGATGTAAGGCCTCCTATCCTCCTATAGGTTACCAGCAGGGACTTTTAACATAATTTTCTAATCATTGATGAGGGAAGTGGTGGTATTCCTTTTTTTCATGGAACCCCATAGAAAACAATATTGTAAATGTCCTATATGATAGAATATTTCCATACAAGGATTACCTTGAAGTTGCACTACCACGTCTCCATATTGGTGGACAGACAAGTATATGAGTATTACATTAGTGGCAGGAAAAGCATTAGTGAAGTAGCATTTGCCATGCTTAACAGCCACATAATTAATTTGATATTAATTGTCTAAAACAGCATTTCTCAACCTTTTTTCAGTCACAGCACCCTTTAAAAGTATGCAAAATCTCAAGACACCCCAGTCTAAAATGTAAAAATGTGGAAAATGACGTGTGGTTCCTCCAAAATCTAGAACCTTATGTGAGATAGAGGTCTGGTATGGGTTTTAAGGGGGACACCATGCAAAAACACAAACAAGTGGAGTTCCCACTTTACACAAAAAATACCCCTTGTACATCAGACTCCTCCCTTTACATTAGGAGCCCACCTTCACCAGAGTCTCTTCTTTTCACATCAGAGTCCCCCTTCACATCACAAGCCTCCCTTTACATCACAAGCTCTCCCTTCACATCAAGAGCCCTCTTTACATCAGAGTTGTACCATCACCAGGAGCCCCAGCTGTGGCAGCAGGGCATGGAATCAGAACAGGCCTGGATGGAGGCAAACTTCTGCCATTTTTTAAATGGTTCCCAACCTGCCTGGATTAGAGACACTAATTACCATGGTGCTGGTGTCCAGCCTGCCTGCACCATAGAAAGGCCTGACACTGTGTGTAGGGGCGTCCCGAGGCCGGGTGTCACCCGGAGCGGATACCGGGTGACACCCCGCCGTGACGTCACCACGCATGTGTGCGCGATGACATCATCACGCATGCACATCTATCTTTGTGACACCTGCCGGCGCCCATCTTGGTGATGGCTGCCGGCAGAGAGAGGAGGGGACATTCACCCAGCGGGATAAGGTATGCCGCCAGTTCATCTCTCTCCCGCAACTGTCGGGCTCTCGGTCCATGACCGAGTGCCCGATTTTTCAGAGGGGGTGACACCAAAAGGACTGTCAGTCATTTTGGTGTTACCCTTCCAATGGTGTCACCTGGGTGCGGGCCGCACCCCCCTTGTGACGCCACTGTGTGAAAATTTTAAAGCACCCCTAAGGAAGCCAGACGGTACCTTCTACATGGTGCATAAATCCACATACCACAATAATGATATAAAGTCATGATTATGGTCTGGAATTCCCAGTACTGTTTTGCTGAAAATGGTGTCTGCCTAAACAAAGCTATGCCATCATATATGAATGGAGAAAACTGGCACCCACACTCAATGTACTAAATTATTGGTTTTAAAAAAACCTGCACTGAAATGCCTGCAGAGATAATGCGAGGGATCTGGATCAGAAAGAAAACAAATTCAGAAGAGCTTGTGAGTCATCTTCAAATCTAACAAGCGGCTGCGAGCCATTGTATAGATAAAAACACAGAGCTAAAACTATTATTAACACTTATGTTACACAATGACAGAAACTGATTAAGGTCAGTGATCTAAATATCACAGTTCATATGTTTGGATCACAAATAGTATAAGTGGTGTGCCAACCATCAGCAGCTTATTCATTCACAAAATTAGTTTTTGCTTCCAACGCACAGAATATACATTGAATCATCGTCATTAAATGTGCTGCCAGTTTAATAGCAAAATGCCTCCAAGAAAATAATGATTCCTACATTTACTGGAACAGCTTAAACAATCATAAGTCTTTAGAGACATTTTCCACTTTTTGTTCCCAATTCTTGCAAAAAATTAATAAATTCACTCATATTGCAAAAATAAAAATTTGCAATTTTTTTGCATTGGAGCTTACAAAGCATTGCAACCACGATCAGTGGGCACAAGCTTCTGAAGACTCTTTCTCCAGCCTCAGGTCCATAAAGAGGTCTAGACCTTCAGTTATGGAACTAGAGGATGGTATTAATGTACTATAAGTGCAGTGACATGACCGCACTTGTACCCTATTGAGAACTACAAGCTTCTCTGCCACAGTGATATACAAGACTTTAAGTTTTTTCATTTACAGATTCTGTGAATGGATCTGTGAATACATTACGTGGCTGTGCAGACAGAGCCACACACAGCCAGTCTGCATGTAAAAATATGCAGGAGACTGTGGGGGAAATCACCCTGTGATTCAGGTAAGTGGGGGTGGGTTGAGGGCAGGTGTCTGCCAAATGGTTCCATGTTTACAGCCTAAATATGGAGGTAACATGGAACATGTCATTAAAGGTGGAATTAGCCTTAAAATAAAACCTGTACAGAGGAAGAAAAAAAATAGGCTGCCACCAATGGTAGTTACCTAAATGTCATGCTAATCCTAAGGCTTCAATTCTTTCTGAGACATTGACCCTAGAAACCTATGCAAGTGTTGACTTTATTTGTTGCATGCTTTTTTTTTGTACTGGAAGCCAGAAAACGTAAGGCAACTAGAATTTTCAGATCAGAAATCACAGCCTACTAATGCCTCATAGGGGTCTATTCACTAAGCTGCCGAGGGCAGCTGAGTGAATGACCGATCTGAAGTGAAGTGAGCCGAACACTGTTCGGCTATTCACTTCAGGCTGGTACGGCTGATTTCAGCCGTACATTGGCTGAAATTAGCCGTACATCGGCTTGCTTCGCGTGGCTTCAGGTCGGCCGAACATCCAACATCTGGATCGGCTGAGCCGAACCCCCGGCAGGCTACTCGCTGCTGTTCGGGCTATTCTTAAAGATGCCGAACACCAGTGAGTGAATAGCTGAATGCCGCTAAGCGGCATTCGGCTCAGCTGTTCTGCTCGGTCCCTCAGAGGGACTGAGCAGAAAAGAAAAAGAGTGAAAAAAGTAAAAAAAAGGAAATAGAAAACGATTGTGCGGAGCTAGCAGTGACAGCTAGCTCCGCCCAATAGTTTCCTATTGTCCGGCGGGTCTGCTGCTGTAAAAAAAAAAACGAAAAAAAACACAGCTGTGTCTTTTTTTCTTTATTCTGACACGGATTCGATGTCAGAATTAAAAAAAATTTTTTTTTGCAATAGCCAATAGTAAACTAGCATTGTACCCGCCCTATGCTGATGGACCTGATGGGGAACTGCAGCAGAGGGTGGGTACAGTGTTTCTCTCCTTGGCGGCCGGGAGCAGGAGTCTCCCGCGGCGCCAGGTAGAGTTAGCTGTTGGGAGATCAGTGTCCCTGGTTAGCAGGTAATGAATAGACCCCTTAGTGTTTGCTTCATTTAAACAACTGAAAATAGATATTTTCATCATTAATGCTAGATACTTTGTAAATAATTTACAGGATATTAGATTTGTAACTACTGAATAGTATTAGCAATGTCTACACACAAAAACCAAAAAGTCCATATCGTAAAACCCACGAAAACCTAATTCACAAAAGTTATCTATGTATGTTTCTTACATATTGAAGACATGTGGCTCAATATTACACCTACAATACTTCCTGATACCTGACTCACCACCACCACACAAGAAAACTTACATAGACGTCCATTGGTGTTACAAGCTGTAATAAAATAACATTTTGGACCAAAACAGAATTTATTACCACTCAGATTTCTTATTGGATTTTAATTCTTCGGGTAGTGCTGATCTGTATAGGTCATAAGAGGCCTTACATTGAACAAAGGAAACTTGATAGATAATACTGTATACCTGGTATAAGTTTGTTTTCAACTATAGCTGCGTCCTTCTCTAGAGCACAGTTTGATAAGTCAGCCTTTTTTTTAGTGATGTCTGTAGACTCTGTGCATTGGGTTCCATCTTGTTTGGAATTAAGCAGTGGAGAACATCCAATTATGTCACTTATACAAAGGCAGATGTAAAAGGGACTTGGCATAAAAGACTGTCCATTCTGATACAGCACACCATTGAGTTCACATCCAACAGCATATATATCTGTAAGTTCAAAGACAGAAGATATCAGGTTATCAGGTATATCTATACTATGTACTCAGTGATACACATTTCTTTATCTTTGGATATGGACGTGTAGCGCCCCCCTGACATTTAGGGGCAGGAGGAGCTGACATTTCACATCGGGGATGAGTCCTTAGCCGGAAAGTGAAATGTGCAAAGTGAAATAGGGCACCAATCACATTAAGGATTTTATAATCCTTTCTTTAAAGAACGGCAAAACAGGAAGAGACATCTAAAGCTGTAGACATCTAAGTTACACAGAACTCCAGACTCACCAAATGCTTTCCAGCTTTACAGTGCAGAGGGCCTTTAAACTGAAAATGCTGTGTCACTGTTTTAGGGAACCATAGTTGGTTGGCAGACATTTTTTAGATCTCCCCTGGGTGAGACACCAGACTTCCCTTTGAGATCCAAGCCCATTCTGGCTTCTCCGGTACCTCTAGCTGCCAAAGTTCCTCCCTGGCTCTCCATCCCAGGAATAACACCTGACCCCGACTGGGTCCACGCCTGACCACCTGCAGGCTTCAGTCCTGGTCAGATAGTTCACACATAATGCACCGCTCCCAAGCAGGAAGCCCAGGGGAGAAAGAGACCAGATATTCAATGTCCATTTCCCAGCATGCACCACTGGCCATGAAGCTCCTAATGTCTGGAAAGACATAGATATCCATAATGTTCCATTATTAGTTGCTGAGCTCTGTGGCAAGGTTTTACCCAGCAGCGGGCAGATGCAATCAATAACAGAATCGTAAGGGAAAGCCAAATGAGTACAGACTATACAATCAGCTAGACTGGATACAGTCCTAGCAAACTTAATTTAAGTAGTCACCCCACGTCGGGCAAGGTGGCTACATATGTCTTGGATAAACATGCATGACCATATACACAAGTATAGAAATGTCACGTAACTGCTTTAAAAATGACAAGGTATCCTCCCACCTTTATGAACTCTCACCACAATGAGCTCTATATTTTTTTGAGTCCAACTCTCTATTTAACCTCTTTGAATGTTCAGAAGTTTCTATTTTTCAAAAAAGGAACAACATCTTAATGTAAATAGGCATGTATCCACATACTGCTGTATTACTGTTCACCAAAATATTACGTTGTACTGTGTATTATTAACAGCTTTGATGGCACGGAAGGCTGGGCACCCTAGACTGTCTACCTCATTATTAATGCTTTGTTCCATTTGTACCTTTGTAACATTGTTTGCTCAAAGCCATTGTCTGTGAACTTATGAATAAAGAATTGCACAAAAAAAATTATAAGGTGTCTCCATGCCTCTGTCACACACAAAGTATGGTCAATTCTCCAGTTAATTATGTCATACTGAATATATCTTTAGAACAAAAAAAAACTTAGGTCTCATGGTGCATTCAGAGCTTTAAAGAGTAAGGAAACTTTCAAAGTTCTGTTACTCTTTTGCCCTGAGCTGAGCTGAAGTAGCCCACCACCATATACTTACCAACACCTGGCCATTGAAACCCCCCATGTGTTTACATCCTTTGGGATGGCTTCTTCATCCTGATGTCTGCACATGTACAGTAGAATCTCATAGACTTCTGTAGGGCTGGGACATGGATACAATCCATATCCCAGCTCCACATAAGTCTATGGGGATTAACGGTGCATGTGTGGTCATAAGGATAGAGAAGCTAGGCCAAAGGATGTTAACACTGCTCCAGCCCTCGTTAGCCTGTAATTGATTATTTAGCATGATGAGATGGCCAGGAAGAACATGTGTTAAAAGGGTAATTTACTAAAGAAATCCCAGGATGCCACATGTGAATGGGGCCTAAGTCATAGAGGTCTCTCTACAACTAAGCCTTTACAGGTGAAACACTTAAGGAGCCGGAGCTTAGACAGGGACTGCAACGTGGATTTGTATTGAGCCCAAAAAGTTTTATTCTGTGTGTTGAACTGGAGATGCGACTGTTTGATGTTCCTTTGAAGTATTATAGAGGAGCTCCTGTGATCTGCACTCAGAGTTAACAAAGCTGTTTGGAATCAGGATTGGAGTTTTGGAGCGGTGAAACAATAGATATTCTGCTAACCTAGAATTGGGATATTTGTTTTAAGATGGTCAATATGATTTTAGGGCAAGTTCTGCTTTTAAATTTTTTTTTTATTTTGGTGTGTGATTTTATTTTTTATTGTTTCCACTTTGTTTACCACCGTAAAGTGGTTGTATTCAAATGCATGAGTATAACTCATAGCACACTGGTCAACTGTAAATAATAGTCAGTCCATGTTTACATCTCATCAAATATTGAAAGTCACAGTTAACAAACAGCCAACACTAAGAAAGCAAACTCACATTTGCAGATCCCAAATTCAAACTTTGGTGCATCAGCTGAGTAGTCACAGTACAGTCCTCTATGGTGATCGCACACCTCTGCTTCATTGCAACCTTCCCCCAGTTGCTTAGCACAGATCTTACAGCATCCACATCCATCCGTCACCAGACTTATTCCCATGGGGCATAAACGTTTATTGGAGCATTTGCATGGCCAGTGGCAAAACTCCTTTCGCTGGAGGGTCTCTGCTGCTTTGTCCATTGTTATCAATGAGTTTACCTTCTCTTCTGCCCTGCAAAGAAACTACAACAACATGCACTCTATAAGTAAATGTCATCAGTTTTCCCAGGTACCAAGCCATATGACCCTTGTCACTGATTCTATTGTATGTCTAAGAACATGAAGATAAAAGTGTATGTCAAGCCAAATACTTTTTTCTAGCTTTGGATAAAGTGAGCAAGGATTAGAACACTTGCATGTTTTTTACTGCAATCTGGGGCTCTATTAGAGTAGCTTACTCTCCCTTTCTGTACTGCTGACAAACAGATCTTGATTCTAGTATATTTTATTGTAGTAAAGTTACATGATAGCGAAACACCCTACCAGGCATAGTAAGCATACACTGTTAGAATTTCAACTGATTCCGAAATTCCTACAGTGGGTGGTCAACTGTCTCAACAAAAGTCGATTACTCAATGGACTTTTGTCGAAGGAGCCAGACAGAATTTTTGGTTGATTGGAGACTACAGCCAATCAGCTGCAATGACCATACATGTATTCTGACAGCACTGGTTGTCAGAAAACAATAGCTGTAGCGGAAGATTTGTCCATCGACACTATTTAGCGTGAATGGAAGAATCTGTAAGATTTCTTTCGTTTAACCCACAGGCTGAATTAAATAGAATCCACTAGTATATGTCCAGCTTAAAGTGTACTACAGCTTTAATGGGAAGGACATAGTTAAGCGCTTCTGAGCCCCCAACATGTCTTTACTAGTAATGTCATCTACCATAGAACCCAATGCTTTAGTCAGTAATAATAAATACATGATCACAAACTTTTTTCTTGTTAATATAGCACATAATAATAATAACGTTTCCATTGGTACAACAAGAAAGGTATTCATTCTGAAATGGATGTCAAAGTTGTGTCCAATTATGTTTAAAACCTTTTGAACTTTTACATTTATTTTAGAATCTATGTGGCTTTGCCACTGCCATGCAACCCCAATGGTTACATCATAGTGGACTCTGAACCTGTTGTCAGTCAAATGAACAATAGGTATGTATATACAGTATGTACAATTAGATTCAAATTTAAAAATGGTTGTTGGACACTCTGGTTGCCAAAATAAGAATGTATCCAAGAAAATAAATGCCTTATTAGGGAAATATAAATTAAAGTGGCACTAAACTCAGGAGTTAAATCTTAAAAATGCATTCAAGGAGCCAACAATTAACAAAAATGTATCTTATTTGTGTATCACTCAGTTGTAGATCCTCAAATCATCTCTGAATTGGTGCTGGCACTGTGCTTGTACCCAAGGTCTCTGTGTGCATGGTAAAGTAGCCACCGCTCCAGGCTCACGCCTGTGATGGACTATAATCTCACATTTGGTTTACTAATTTGTATTGAGACTGTAGTCCATCACAGGAGCGAGCTTGGCTTTTTTAAAACATACACAGGGACCATGGGGAACAAAAGTCGTCACCCTCCAGAAGGAAGGACAGTGTCAGCGCCAATTCAGAGATGATTTGAGGATCTACAGCTGTAGTCAGGATGCTTGAATGTATTTTTAAGATTTAACTCCGGAGTTTAGTGTCGCTTTAAGCATTTTCTTAACACAGAATGTTGCCTATGGCTATTTAATCGCCCTGGATATGGATTCAGGATGTGATTCAGGTGAATCTGTGACCACTCACAAAGCAGAGCCAAACACCCAAATATTTGCTATTTCAGATATGCTTATATTTAGAAGAAAGACAGTCAACATTTCCATTGGAAATCATGTGATTTGCCAGTTCACAATGGCAAATGATTACAAGCAAATCTTTTTCACACTTTATTAATATATTTAAGATAAGAGAAACCAGCATTTAACATTAAAAAGTGCAAATCTTGGTGTTGGTAAAATAGTGACAATGAACTGGTGACAGCAAACATTCTTTGTAAATCGCCAAATATATATTTCAAATCTTAGTTAAATGTTAGACGGCTCTACCCCTGGGACCTTTATAAATACAGTCCCATATCAAATCTTCTACCGTTACCCATAAGATAGCATGTTTTTATTGTATACACAACCAAAGATTTAAGGGATTAGCCTGACAGGAAATACTTTACTTTCAAAAGCGTGTGTAGATGTGAAGACATGAGTTAAAGTGATCCTTTTATTTAGAAAGTAAAGTAGGTGGCTGGAATGCTCACATGAGCAAACCAGGGGAGTGAAGCTCAGCAAGCATAAGTTTAACCACTTCATGGCTATATGCATTATATATATATATATGATAGAATAGCAACCATTGGCAAGCCCTGATTTGCTTGTGCTCAAAACAGGTTTTCAGAAAAAGGCTCCAGCTCTAGGGCTGTATGAAATATAAATCCAACACTATAAACCTTTTCTGATATTAGGACTTCAATATTTGGGTTATGATGCTAGTGACATTACTAAAACATGAACAGAATTTCCATTCATTTGGAACAACATTGACAATGAAGAGCACAAGTCATCCAGCTTTGCTTTTAGCACTACTTCATTAACTCATCCAAAATATTAACCTGTTAACTAGGGTTGCCACCCGTACGGGTGCCACCCGTACGGGTTTCACCCGTACAACCCGGGTTTGGAATCATGTGCCCGGGTATGTGGCCACCTCCCGCCATAACCCAATTGTTGAATCTAGAAGTTAAAGCTAGCCTGTAAATAATAACAATCTATCTTCACCATTATTGTGGTTTCTCAAATATAATATTATTTAATACTTTTTAGATCTAACATGTATAAGCACATAAAGGGTGGGATGTTGTAGATGTTGTTATGCACAAAGTGGATTTTAGAGAGCCCACTGATAATCACCACTATTGACTACCCTCTGAATCAGTGGTATTCAATTTATTTGATGTAGTCTGCCTCAAGTGTGGCCCCTGACACCAGCAAAGTCCCATACACAATATTTGTCCAAATGTAATGCAACAGAAACCTGTCAGAGACTGAAGACATTCTACAAGAGGTGGCCAGAGACTGCATACGTGCTACATGCATTTTTGGAGACTGGGGACATGATTTAGGAGGCAGTTATAGCCAGGAGACACAATACATGATAATACTAGAGGTCTCTGCCAATATACAAGTCAACACTTCCACATATGTGCCCCTTATACCCCTCTTAAAAATGACTTGTGCCACATTTGATATTTCTCTTAGCAAAATCACATTCTAAAAAATCAGAGTGAAAAAAAAACATCAAAAGAGAAAAGGGATGGACAGCACAGAAAAAGTAAGATATTGTGAACGTAGTAAACCAAGCCATTAATTTCTAGAAGTCACTTTAAAGAATATTTTAAATATATATATTTTCTATACAGAATATTTTTAATATTACATTGTTAAATGTGTCAAACATAACAAAGATAACAACAAAATGCATTATCATAATTTAAACACATATATTGAAATATAATCTTACAGGGTATAAGGGCTTATGTCAACGGGCATTGCTTTCCTGTGCTTGAGGTGCATTTGGAATACATGTCAAGCACAAGTCAGCAAAATCTCATTGTATGCATGGCCGTTCATAGGCTGCGCTTGACCAGCTTTGCGCTGTGTTTCTTTGGACGCAGCATGTCCCATTGAGGTACATTTGAACTGTAGGCAAAGTAGGTCAACCGCAACCTTTTCTTGTCAAACACTGCGTTTCCCATTTAAAAACAGTTGCATGAGTTTGAATGGACAAGAGCATCCGTTGACTTGAGCACTAACAATAACTGAGTGTATTCTGACCTAAAGTGACACTAAACACAGGAGTTAAACCTTAAAAATGCATTCAAGAACCTTAACTATTACCAAGAATGAATCTTATTTGTGTATCACTTGGCTGTAGATCTTCAAATCATCTCTTAACTGATGCTGACACTGTCCTTCCTTCTGGAGGGTGGCTACTTTTGTTCCCCATGGTCCCTGTGTGTGTTGTAAAGTAGCCACCACTCCAAGCTCGCTCCCGTGATGGACTACAATCTCAATACAAATGAGTAAACTAAACGTAAGATTGTAGTCCATCACAGGAGTGAGCTTGGAGCGGTGGCTACTTTACAACACACACAAGGACCATGGGGAACAAACGTAGCCATCCTCCAGAAGGAAGTACAGTGTCAGCACCAATTCAGAGATGATTTGAGGATCTACAGCTGAGTGATACACAAATAAGGTGCGCTACTGTTAATAGTTAAGGTACTTGAATGCATTTTTAAGATTTAACTACTGAGTTTAGTGTCACTTTAAGCGAAGAAAAAAATAAAGATAGCTAAGATTAAATAGTGTTGGAACCTAAGTGTTTACCTTGCAAAAGTGACACTCCACTGACACCTATCACCCCCCTCCTAAAACAAAGTCCAACACATGGCATGATGACTGTTTAGCATACAGGCTTAAAAGGTCTGTGCAATAATCTGGTGCCGTGTCACTGTTTGACAAATCTTCATGCTGTCAAAATTATAATTTAATGTTTTGTGATATGTAAAGTTCAAGTTCAGAATATGTTTCCCTAACACTGTAACTAATTTAGAAAATGCAGCTCACTGTTTGGGTCAAGTATTGAAAATTGTGAATTAGGCTTTTGTGGAAAACGCTCCATTCCCTTCTTAAGATCGAGCTCCCACCTCAAACTATGTGGCCCGAGCAAGTCTGCCAGCTGAAATTCAGCTTTCAGGTTGTAATTTCAGAAGAGCGGATTACGTTTGCTCCTACCGTAGGCCTCTCCATTTGTTTTTTTGGTTGCATAAACTCATTTTAGTTAAAGTCATGTAGCTAAAGAAAAATAAATGAATGCGCTTCAACTTACCTGCTGATAGGAAGTAGTGAGGAGAGTGAAAAGGAGCCACAGCATGTTTATGATGCCTGAAATCTAAGTGAGAGATAGAAAGTGAGCAGAGCTGAATCTGAGAGAGCACACAAAGCTCCCTTCTGTCGTCTGTGTTAGTCTTACCTTTCTCTATGCACACATACACTCACATACACATCCATCTGCGTCATGTACCCACAGGCT